CTAAAGTTTTTATAAAAAAAAATCATCCTAAAGTAATTGAAACACTTTAATATACATTTTGTTGATACATAACATTATTTTACCTTCAATAATTTTGATCATATATTTATTATAATTAGTTGATACTATGAAATTTTATACAATGTATCAATTTTTTTGTGCATATTATTTATAGAATTCAAGTCAATCTCCTAACAAATTATGCCGATTAAAGTGATGCGCATTTTAAAAAATGGAGGTATTATTTTTCTTGCATTAAATGTTTGAATTTATTATAATTGTAGTTGTATAAAGATATCTTAATGAATGTTATTTTTTTATAGTAATAGTTTATATTAAAGTTATCAAAATCAAGATTCCACTTTGAATTGGAAGGGATTTAGATGTGTATGTGTTACTGATGATAGTAGTTGTGTTTCAGAAGTTTTCTTACAAGTTTTTATTTCTTACATGAGAAGGTTTTTCTTGTTTTAGGCTTAAAATATTTTAATTATGCAATTTTGTTTTGACAATAATTATTTTTAAGATATAGCAGAATCGAGTGAGATGATTTTTAAGTGGTTGATAATTTTATTTGGTATGTATACATGTATGGATTTTTTAATATTTGCATAGTATCTTAATAGGTATTTTATATACTCTGAAAATTAAATTATAAGAAGATTATGATTCTTGGATTGTTTGATAAATTCTATTTAATGACATGTTTACAAGCTTGATAATAAATGATAATTTAATTATGAGATGATACATTTATGAAACATGATTATTATTGATTTCTCACTCATAATTATAGATTGAAACAAGTAAGTCAAATTAATACTCTTTCATAGAATGAGATGAATTAAAGAAGGATTTCAAGTAGAAGTGTAATTACACACATTTTGTATGTGTCATAACCATGTAATAAATTGATTAATTACGAAATAAATTATCACATATAACTATTTAAAAATATAATATTCTAACGAATGAATCACAAAAGAAATTCAAAAGAGGTGTGTGAATAGTGAAAAAGTGTAAATACTGCAATTAAAGTAATTGATTAAATCTAATATATATAAATAAAGTAGGCATTTTTCAAGAGCATTCGGAGCGCCACATAAGCAAAAGTATATTTTCGACCAATTAAAAATTAGATTTCAATTATATTTTGGAATTAAAATTTCGTTTGCCACCTAAACAAAATTGGCGAATGAGATTTAAGAATTTTTTCACGTAAGTAAAAACAACGAATATTGATTTATTAGGATTAAATTTATTTAAAAAACTAAAAATTTTCTTGTAAAATAATCATCTTTAGATATAGGATTTATATACGTACTATTATAAGATAAATTTTGATAGTGTTTATGATAAGAAACAAAAATTATTCCTTAATTATAATTAAATTAAAATTTGTGACATTTAGATGAAAAAATTCCAATGCATAAATTTAATTTTGTATAATTACAATTTTTAGATTAATTTCACAACAATTATTCACTTTCTGGTAAATATTTTAATTTATTTTATAAGACTATAAAGATTAATTTTATATAAATTTTATTTTTGCTAACATATTCTATTTATTCACTTTTATTAGATGGAAGAGATATCGATGTGAACTAAGTTGGTGATCCTATCGAATTTTTTTTTAATACAAATTTTTTTTACATCGAAATATTACATCTAATAACTTAATGTAAAAAATATTATGAGTATAATCTAATTACAAAAATTATGTGTATGAGATTTTATGTATAAAAATCCGTAGGATATTAGGATTTAAATTATTAAAAAAAATAAAAATTATCTTATGAATTTAATGGTTTTATCTAAATACCCGATATATAAGATTTTTTTTCATAAAATAATTTAAAACTTTTAACCAAATAAAAAACTTTACCTTCTGTAAAAATTTGATGTCTAAAAACTTTAAAAGACAGATAATTTGTTAGAGATCAAGAGATCACAAAAAATATACATAATGATATATATATTTGAGAGTTAATTTCAAGTGTAAAAAGTAACGAATAATGATTTAAGATTTAAATTATTTTAAAAATAAAAAATTATTATCTTTCACATTATAGATTTTATCCTAATATGTAATCAATGAAATATCATATTTATAATTATTTTTTTTGAAAGATATCATATTATTGTCATATAACTAAGAACAACGAATAAAATACAAAACAACAATAAATGAAGTCGCATTATAAATTACATTAAAAAAATAATACTTTTGTAATTGACAATATCATTTTAATTAAATTATTATTTGTTTTTATTTTTTTTTGTCTGAAATTATTAAATTGTAAAATAAGTCAAATAATTATATATATATATATATATATATATATATATATATATATATTAAAAAAAGAAACTTAGAGTATATAAGAAATATCTTTTTTTGAGATATACGTATGAAAATCCGTGCATCGCACAGACTTTCATCTAATTATTTTACATATTATTTAAATATATTCTATTTAAATAAAAAAATATTATGAGTATCAATATTTCCTTTCTCATATTTACAATTTATTTATATTTAATAAATTTATATTTACAATTTAATAATATTTATATTTAAATATTATGAATTCAGTAAAAACGAATTAGATGAAAAAATATCATATTTACAATTTATTTATATTTAATAAATTCATTATAAATTATAGTAAAAAAAAATATTAAACATTTGTAATTTTGTCTGAAATTATTAAATACAATAAATCAAATAATTAAAAATCTTAGATGAAAAAAACCGTGCATCACATAGGCTTCCATCTAGTAATTAACAAATTACGTAAAATTATTTATTAATTAACAAATTACGTAAATATTTATAATTATAAAAACAAATGATTTATTCAACAAAAGTAATATCATTTTGCCCCGGGCCACTAGAATATTAGAAACGGCTATGTAGAAAGTTAAGGGGGAAATTTTAAAGTTTTAAACTTTTAATAAAAATCTAGATTCAAAACAAAAATTTAACAAAGAATTGCAATATATATGATTTCAATTCAAACCCTAAATCACTAATAATTGATTTACATTGTGAATTCTGAAAAAAAAAAAAAAAGGAAGTAATATATACCGTAGAAGAGGAGGAGGAAGTAAATTAAAGCCACTGTTTACCGGAAAAGATTGGTGGTCGCCGTCTCGCCGGAATAAACCACTCTTGGAGAGAGACAGAAAGGAAGAAAGAAGCGCGATTATTATACTTTGTACAGGGTTTTTTTTTTTTTTTTTTTTTTTTTGGGAAAATATAGGTTAAGATAAATCTAATGGTGATTTGATTTAACCATTTTTGTAAAACAAAAGAAAATCCCTCTCAATTTGACAATTTGAGTTAACCAATCTGCTACTAGTATTAGTATTCTACGAAGTACAATTTACAATCAACTTTATTATTTTATTCCGTAAAAAATAGAAGTGAATGTCAACTAATTTAGTTGGTTAAAGTTTTAGGAGTTGAAACTTATCTTTGTATATACGAATTAGATGAAAAAATATCATATTTACAATTTATTTATATTTAATAAATTCATTATAAATTATAGTAAAAAACATAAATATTAAACTTTTGTAATTTTGTCTGAAATTATTAAATACAATAAATCAAATAATTAAAAATCTTAGATGAAAAAACCGTGCATCGCACGGGCATCATCTAGAAATTAACAAATTACGTAAAATTATTTATTAATTAACAAATTACGTAAATATTTATAATTATAAAAACAAATTGATTTATTCAACAAAAGTATTATCATTTTGCTACTCGCCTGGTGACTGTCCTGACCCTTCAAAGACTTTTGCCTGTTTTGAGCCAAATCACATTTCAGGCTTTCTTTCTTATTGCTTTCCTTTTCATCATTTGTACTGGATTTTAACTTCTTTCCATGATAGTCAAATTTGTATTCTTCAAACTCCATCGAACTTTTCTCAATCTTGTAAAAAAGGCTTCCATAGAGTCTCATATCTTCAATCTCATCAATATCGAGATCATCCTCAACTTGTTCAAGATGATCATCTACTTCCTCTAAACCTACCATCCTCAACTGTGATTCCTTTTGTTTGCTCTTTGAAACACAAGACAAACCCGATGAAATAGACCAAGTATCTAAATCAACAACCTCAATTTCACAGCTATCAAGCCGAGGTTGATCCTGACAAAGCAATGGCATATTAGAAATCCCTCCTCCAAGACGATTCCTTAAACCATTGCCATTCTCAACCAAAGTCGATGAATAAGAATTCCTTTCACCCTCATCAACACAAACCCGGCTTGAAAAATATCTATTGAAGAGGGTAATACTACAAGGATTTACTATCGAATTCGAGGAGCAGTTCTTCTCAGTAAGACTAACATCATGCGGTTTAGCACAAAACAATAGCTAACAAATACGAAATCTCATCGAAATCGACTCTATCCTTTAGTTAAAACGCACCCCATTTTTCTGCAATAAAAATAGCATTGGAAATCAGAGAAGACAATACACAAGTTCACACATTTCCTACATATTAAAGCAGGAATCCACCTTCACATATTATTAGCAAAATAATAAATTGTTCATAAACTTATAACAATACAAACACAACCCACCAATCAGTCCAATTTAAGCAATATGTTTTTGATTTTTTTACGTCAGCTCAAATTTCTGGGCAAATGATAAAGAAAAATAAACAACAATGAAATAGAAAGTTAAGGGGAAGTTTTAAACTTTTAATGAAAATCTAGATTCAAAACAAAATTTAACAAAGAGTTGCAATATATATGATTTCAATTCAAACCCTAAATCACTAATAATTGATTTACATTGTGAATTCTGAAAAAAAAAAAAAAAAGGAAGTAATATATACCGTAGAAGAGGAGGAGGAAGTAAATTAAGGCCACTGTTCACCGGAAAAGATTGGTGGTCGCCGCCTCGCCGGAATAAACCACCTTTTGGAGAGAGACAGAAAGGAAGAAAGAAGCGCGATTGTTATACTTTGAACAGTTTTTTTTTTTTTTTTTTTTTTTTTTTTTTTTTTTTGGGAAAATATAGGTTAAGATAAATCTAATGGTGATTTGATTTAACCATTTTTGTAAAACAAAAGAAAACCTCTCCCAATTTGAGTTAACCAATCTGTTACTAGTACTAGTATTCTACTGAGTACAATTTGCAGTCAACTTTACTATTTTATTCCGCAAAAAAAAAAAAAAAAAAAAAAAAAGTGAATGTCAACTAATTTAGTTGGTTAAAGTTTAAGGATTTGAAACTTATCTTTGTATATACGAGATATACAAGAAGGTTAAGAAAGATTTGAGATACTATTAAAAAAAAAAAAAATTGAGATTGACACTTTATCTTTTGTATTTATTAAAGATAAAGTGTCAATCCCATTGGTTGGGATTTTGGGTATGGAATTCCCTTTGCTTCATTGTTTTTGTATACTCTAATGGGTACTTCATCCACAGAAAACCTACACATTTAAAAATTAATAATTTACCATCTACTAATCGAGTCGTTTTCACTTGAATTTAACAAAAGAAAAAAACATATAAGTTATGCGACTTACACAATTTGGTGATGGTTCCATAGAATGGAGTAAGTATGATAATCAGCAGAAGGATCAAACCAAAGATTAACCCTTTGTTCTCTGTTTCCCTTACCATGAGCAAATATGTTTGTTTGAACCGTGTAAGGGTGTCCTGTTCGATTTCCTAAGAACTCGAAATCCAACTCGTCACGTATGGTGTCCGTGTCCGAATTCATCTAACAATGGTTTTAAAAAATTTATCTTCCATTATATACAAATTATACAATGTATGAGATAAGTTAAAGTATAAGTACATTTTTTAATTTTTTTGAGGAAAAGTATATTAAACATTTTTTTTTCATTTTCAAATAAGTTGGAGTTGTAGTGTAGGCAACTCACGTAAAATGCAGTCACAGTTCCTGCAGAGTCACCAGCTACAAGCTTGATCTTCATGCTAATTCGTCCATACATGTATTTGTACTTGGATGCAAATCCACATCCTATATTTATAAGATTTAAGCCAACATAAGAAGTTTTTAAGATTCTGAGTTCGTAAGATAGTTGGGGGGGGGGGGGGGGGCTGACGCATGTACATAAGTAAAGTAACATAATCTTTTTGTAAAGTTTCATCTTAAAACCAATTACTCGTATATATTTATATGGAAGTAGTCCACAGACACTAAGGTATTATACATAGTATTTATAGGGAGTATAGGTTATATTTTTTGGTGCGTATGCTTGTCCTAGCTAGACAGAGACACTAACCTTATAAGTATCATATCCACCATCTATCAATGCTATCTTAGAGAGCCTAACACCAAAAGATGTCTTCATACATGCATGCATATATATAAGCAATACTCGAATTTAATATTAGGCCACATTTCGGACTTGGAGATAATAAGTCAAGCTTGCATAAAGGGAGAGAATATAGACAACATAACTTAAACTCTGTAGGTCGTCTCATTTCAAAATCAATTAATATGATGGATTAAATTAGCTTTAGTTGTTATGTATATATGATTACGTTACCTGAATTTCTATCAAGAATAAGCTGAATGGCCCTGCATCCTTCAACAAGCTTCAAATGAGAGTCAGCCCATGTAACTTTGAAGTCTTGTTGAAATGTTGCTGGCCTTGCATATATTGCAAGACCGTGAAACAATAAAATGAGAGAAACTAGAGCAACATTTCTTATAAAAACCATGCTCATTATTACCTTTATGAAATTAGAAGAAAAATAAATAGATAAAATAAACAAATTGTTATTCTAGTACCACAAATTTAACATGGATATTAATTTATACAAGTGATGTTCTATATATATTGAGGATCGCTAGTGCACTTGCAACCAATAGGAAATTAGTAGAGGGGAAATTTGAAGTACTATTGTACTAATGTACTACATACACTGTAGTTATCTTAATTATGAAATCTAACATAAGTATCAATATTGTCCCAATACTTTCAGATAGAGTCCTACATATGGGAAAATGTCCCCAACTAATAACCTTGCTAGTACAATAGTATGTACTAGTAGGATAGTAAAAAGAAAATGTCATGGCGATTCTCTTAGGTAACACTCCATGTCAAGAAACGAAACTCGATAATCTAATACTCCCTTTGTCGTCCTTGAATGTTTGCCTCATGTTTAAAATTCTTTCTATTAAGGCTTGTTAGAAAGGAAAAGTATGGAGTGCTGACAATCGTTTCTTTAATATTTCAATTAACAAGACGAAGCAATGTACCCTGTCGGTTGCCTTAGCTTACCATAAAACCTTTTTACACATGAATAATTTGAAGTTTATCGTTGTTTCACCTTTGATTTAAATTCACAAAACTCCATTAGTCTCTATTTGGTTTTTTTTTTTAGTGCGACTTTAAATGTTTGCCCTTGGTCTTGGTCCCCATTATTAAAATAGGTTGTGTTAGTTGTTTAAATGTTTAATTATTATAACCCACCCAATTAATTTCAATTCATACCTTATCAAAAGGGAGATAGGGCACTAAGGCATTAGGGACAAAATGTTACTTTATTAAGGCTTGGAGCAAAATTTTGCAAGTCGGTATCATAGTCTTTTTCACTTTTTACGAGTGGATGCAAGTGGGCTAAATGGTGAGAATACGTTATTGTCTAAAGAAATGAGACAATTTTTAAAAGACAATCTAAAATTTAATATGGGGCTAACAAATTAAGACGAACGGAAACTATAATAATGAACTAATAAGCCCGGCCTTTCGTTTCATCCAGGCTGATCCAGCTAACGGCAACCCATCATGGGCCTGCATACATCCCTCTTATGTTGATTCTGATTTAATTTCTTCAATTTCTCAATATTTTATTGCTTTATTTCATTATCCTTATCTCATTGACATTACACCAAATAGCCTCTTAATAGTTATCAAGTTCTTCATTCATTTAATTATGTGAAAAACTAAGTATGATGTTGATGCTTGAAAAGTATGTCGCTTCTTAGCTCATACTCTCAACCACTATAATATGGATCGATTCAAATTGCGTACTTTGTGATAAAAATTACTACTACTTCATTATTTTCTTGCTTTGGTTGCTTTCTTTTGTAACTTTTCATTTATACATATTCATTCATGTGATTCAAAGATGAAAATGAGGTTTATAATACATAGTATATGTCATTGGATGAGAAATGAAAATTAAGTATTATAATTAGGTTGCAAAGTTTAAGATAATTTTCAAATTAAATGGCAACTGGCCAAAGTCATGAACCAGCTCTACAAGGCGACAGATACACATGCAATGGGGCACATCATATATAATAATAGTAGTCACTCTAGTGGGCTTCGTAGAATAGTAACACATTATAAAGGTTGCAATTTTGCAAATTGCACGAGTGTCGGCAGTTTTAGAAATGTGAGGACTTTAGATTAAGGCTATTCTTTTAATGGCATGCAATGACATTGTTAGAGTAATTGATAATAATTAAAGTGATTAGAAAGACCAAACCAAATATTATCGAGAAATTTGAAAGTCAAGGAGAAAATAAATAGGAGGTACATAAGTTGAGAGGTAGAAAAATCCTTTAAGCATATCACTTGAAGACTATAAAGCCCACTCAAACAAGTATATTGTTGTATAACTTATACTTCGTTCGTTTTTTTTAGTTTACACGTTTTGACTTTTGCACTATTCTATATTTGTATTGATGATGAATGGATGGTGTTGCAAACCCTACATTTTCTCCCTTTTTTTGTGAATACATTTCAATACATGCAATAAATTAATATACATAATTAAAGGCATAAATACATTACATTTTAATGGATAATAAGAAGCCACAATGTTCAATTCTCACAAACAACAGGTGTGACTCTCGACCATGGGCAAAGCTAGACTTGACTGAGGAGGGGGACCAGTCTAATAAGCGCGATTGAGGAAGGGGCCGGTCTAATATGCATCCATGCTAGCTACTTCAATAAGCTAAGTGTGAGTAGGGCGAAGCACTAGTAAGGCTAAACACTAAAGGGGTCATGGCCTATGGCCCCTTAGGCCTCAACTAAGCTTCGTCCATGCTCTCAACCTTCTCGGCATGACCTTTTTACAACCACAAGGGATTTTCTGCCTCAAAGTATGAAAACTCTGTAAGAAAAAAGATGCATGCTTTCCGTATGCTTAGCTTGGTGCAACCCCTCCACCTTCAATGATCCAATATATACTAAAACCTCGATTAACGCCTAAAGGATATATCATATTTTCTCAATAATAATTGGAAGGTTTTATAATCGAATAATTATTAAATCATTATGTTAGTATATTTCAATCGACCACTATAATATTTCAATAAATTTAAATTTAAGAAACACAAACACATCGTCCAATCAAAACAACATGATGTACTCCCTCAACAGTCTACCCCAAATTACTCATAACAAAATTTCACATGATTGTTTTCTCTTTCGATCAAATAAATCACAAAACTAAAGATGAACAAATGGAATATGTAAACAAGGTAAAAGTACAAAATGAGTGAGTTTATAAAAAACGACTATTTTACCAAATGCCCCTGAGTAATTTTGAAATTCACCAAATGCCATCGAACTTTTCAAAATTCATCAAATGCCACTGAGTTTTAGTATAATATCACCGAGTGTCATTAATGACTGACATCCGTTAGTTGACCCCACCACTTGCCACGTGTCACCTTCTGATTGGTCCTTTTTTTAAAAAAAAAAACCAAAAATATTTAAAAACTTAAAAAAAAAAGAAAAAAAGAAAACCCAAAACCACCATTTGCTGCCACCAGCCCAGCCATCCCCCTGCCCCCGAAGCCAGCACCGGAAGGCTCGCCGGTGGCCGGCGGACCCCCACCCTTCCCCTCCCCTTTCTCCGTCGCGCCACCGGCCCTAGCCAAACCCCTAACCTGCGAAACCCCACCCCCTTCCTCCACCACCCCGAAATTTCCAATGCAACCAGCCGCCCTGTCGCCTCTAAACACCACTGCCTAGCTCCCCATCTCACCAATAACCACCAATTTCTGAAAACTTCCTTCCTTGCCTCTAAAACCCCTCTCCCTCCTTTCCCTCGCCCCGTAAAACGCCCCCTTCCCTTCCCCTTCTTCGTTTTGGCTGCTCCAATTTCGAAGTAAATTGGTTTAAGGGTCTAGGTTTCAATTTCAAAGTAAATCGATTTAGCAGACCACTGCGACGCGCAGTGGGTTGAGGGTTCAAATTCCGGCAGATTTTCCCTTCCCCGCGTCGAATGAGAAGCTGTTGTTGGTTGTGCTACTGTTGCGTGGGGTTGGGTAGAGTGGAGCTGTTGTTTGTTGCGCGAATTGTGGTTGCGAGGTGGGAGTGCAGGGAGGTGGATGTGCGTTTGGGGAATGGGAGAGGAGCTGCGGCTGTTTACCGGCGTGGGGGAGAGAGGGGTGAGGTAGTGGGGAAAACGGGGACGCAGCGGTCCGGCGAGGGATGGTCGTCGGGCTGGGCAGTGGTGGTGAAGGTTAGGGTGGGCTGGTGGCAGCAAATGGTGGTTTTGGGTTTTTTTTTAAAAAAGGACCAATCAGAAGGTGACACGTGGCAAGTGGTGGGGTCAACTAACGGCTGTCAGTCATTAATGGCACTCGGTGATATTATACTAAAACTCAGTGGCATTTGATGAATTTTGAAAAGTTCGATGGCATTTGGTGAATTTCGAAATTACTCAATGGCATTTGGTGAAATAGCCGTAAAAAAGCAGTAATATCTAAATAATTTAAAATTAGAGTTTCTGAATGTGTCACATCATGTCTCTTATTTTTATTAATTAATTTAATTTTTTACATATCTTTGAATCATTTGAGCTTATCAAAAAATAAATTTATTTGCTTGGGGAATTGGGGATTGGTTTCTTGTTTCAATGGCAAGTGTTGTGTGATTTTTTTTAAAGATGAAATAAGCATAGCATAGTATTATTTGTGACGGTAGTTTTAAGGGGGGGTTGGTGTCTTGCTTGATTTTGTGGCAAGAAGATGTGTTTTCTTCCCTTTGGCCTTATTTTTACATGCATATATATTTTATGGCCGGTTATCGAATCATGCCACTAATGGGTGATGTACCGTAGATGATGACAGACTTAAAAAATGTTTGCATGTAATCCTCAAACTGGATTTAGTTTATGTCCTTTTTAGGCACTTGTACCTCACACGTTCGCAAGTGCAGTGTGTGTTAATGTGTTACAGTGTTAATGCAATGAGTGTAGGTTGTATACTTAATAAGTCGTTTTCTCATACCTTTCATATTTCATGTGTCTCACAAGATCTACCTTCTTTTTTCTCTCTTCTACAAACTACTATGTACTTCATATACACAAATAAGCAACATGCTACGGTCTGTGAGAAAACGTACTTAATTTCCCCTGTGTCTTATCTTCAAAAATAATAATAATAATAAAAAAAAAAAAAAGGCAGCTTGTAAGTACTTGTGGCCGAGATTTTAGAGGGTGAACTCAAGTTAAATTTAGGTTTGGAAGGGACTTATCTAAGCTAGCAGTTTAATTAGGTTATCAACCTTCGTTCAATACCAACAGATTTTAGGTTGTTCTGTCTTATATTACTAGCTGCCATAAAATTTTCTTGGGATGTTAAATAGTCACTAATATAGTAGTTGCTAATGCAAGTAATATAAATCACATAACGCATGTAAGACAAATCAGTTATACGTTTTTGGTATAACTACGCCGTCTGACCATTACATGTTTATAACAAGATTAATTAACCACACAAAATGTTGGAATGACTGCCATAGAAGCAGTATATAAAGCCAGCAGATGATGATATTTGAAGTAAACAAGCTGATTTGTTGTAAATTTGTGATTAATTAACTAACAATGAACAACTTCAGCCTCTTTCAAGCTGGTAGAATTGCTAGACTGATGTTTTTCCTGGTGCAATCAGCATTTTTATTATTGTTGTTACCAACTTCATCATTTGCTGCATTAGGTAACGAAGCCCTTTTTACCGAGTGTCTTGACCTCCAATCTAATCCTCGGTATCCAACATCACAAGTTACATACAGCCAACACAATTCGTCATTTACATCCGTGCTTCAAGAATATGCTCGAAACATCCGGTTCCTGAAACCTGAAATACGAAAGCCATCCTTTATTGTCACACCAAAGCATGTGTCTAACATTGTTGCAACTATCCAGTGTTGTAAAACTCATTTCTTTGAAATGAGAATTCGGAGTGGTGGCCATGATATGGAAGGCCTCTCCTTCACTTCAAATGTTCCCTTTGTCGTCCTTGACATGTTTAACTTACGAGCTATTAATGTAAACTTAGAGGAGGAGACTGCATGGGTGGAGGCAGGGGCACAGCTAGGTGAAGTCTACTACAAGATCGCCGAAAAGAGTTCCATATATGCCTTCCCGGGAGGGGTGTGTCCTACAGTTGGGGTTGCAGGGCACTTGTCTGGTGGAGGGTACGGAAACTTGATGAGAAAATATGGGCTTTCTACTGATCATGTAATTGATGCAACAGTTGTGAATGCCAATGGCATGGTTCTTGATAGAGAGGCTATGGGGGAAGATATGTTTTGGGCTCTTCGAGGAGGTGGTGCAGCTTCATTTGGGGTAATCCTTGCATTCAAAGTACAACTTGTTCGTGTTCCTCCTGTTGTGACTGTCTTTCAAGTGGCACGGTCTCTTGAGCAAGGTGCCTCAAGAACTATGTACCGGTGGCAAGAGGTGGCACCAAATCTACCCAAAGATCTCTTCTTAAGAGCTCGAGTGTCCGTGATCAAGGATCAAAAAGAAGGCTCAAACAGATTGGCATTTACATTCATTGCCTTGTTTCTTGGAGAATCCAAGGAACTTCAAGACCTGTTAACGAAGAGCTTTCCTGAGTTAGGAATATCAGCTAAGGATTGCCAGGAAATGCCATGGATTAACTCTACTCTTTTTTGGGATGAATTTCCCAGTGGAACCTCCACTGAAATCCTTCTTAGTAGGGAATATGAAAGGCTATCTAGGAAAGTAAAATCAGACTATGTCACGAAACCAATACCGCAGGAAGGGTTAGAGCTTATGTGGAAAGAATTGCTAAACATGGATGGACTGGTAATGGAATGGAACCCTTATGGTGGGAGAATGAGTGAGATCCTAGCTAATGAAATCGTGTTTTATCATAGAGCAGGGAACTTATTCAAGATCGAGTATGACTTTAAATGGTACGAAGAAGGGAAAGAAGCAGAGGAACACCACATAGAACTATCAAGAAGGCTGTATAAGTTCATGACTCCTTATGTTTCGAATTCTCCCAGGGAGGCATTCTACAACTATAGAGATCTCGATTTAGGGACTAATACTGGTAGGTTTGCGAAAACTAGAGCTGAATTCGGAAGCAAGTACCATGGAGGCAACTTTCAAAGGCTATTGAAGGTGAAACTTAAGGTAGATCCTCTGAATTTCTTCAGGGATGAACAAAGTATTCCACCCATTCTGAACCTTACTTGAAGAAACATGGATCTGATCAAAGGGGAACAGCTACAAATAGCCGTTTGACTAATAATAGTGTAACCAACTAACAATTCATGTTTAAATTAGTTCTTAACTGAACACAAATTATACATATGTACACAATACTTGCATGTAACAAATGCCATTTTTCGTATTCTTTTGTTTGGTTCTCATTATCAATAAAATTGTAATGTTTTTTACCAAGCTTGTTAGTTGTTGGTAAACATGAAAACAATACACTTGTATATGGTCATCTTGATTTTAAACACCCATAACTTTCAGCAACAGGTTGATTCCACAGTATGAGAGCACAAATTACTTCTATTTTGGGTTTTTTTTTTTTTTTTTTTTTTATTTTTTTTTATTTTTAAATGCATATAATTCATTAAATTACAAAAAAGAAAAAAAATGTAAAATATTAGGTATGCTAAAATGAGAAAATATTAGCAGAAATACTTATTAATCTTATGGGAAAAAAAAAAAAAAAAAAAGTGAGCGTAATCAAAAGGTAAATACGAGGGGAAATAGTTTCAAGACTCAAAAGGTAAATATGAGGGGAAATAGTTTCAAGACTCCAGGGTTTGTAACGTGATGCGTGTTTCAAATTACAAAAACATGTACTACGTATATACAATTACTCCTTAAGAATTGGTTTATAGAATAGTACATTAAAAATAAAAAAAAAAAAATAAAAAAAAAAACATTTTCTAATACTTGTATCTTAGATGGACACTAAACTCCATAAGAATTGGTTTATACTTTATAGAATAATGATTTTTTAATGTTTTGACTCAAAGAGTCAACTAAAAATTAACCTTTGGTTTGACCCATCATTTCAGAGGTTGGTTAGAAGCTGTTATTTAAGGTTTGAAACCTTAAGTTTTGGGGCCAATTTCAAATTGGGTAAAATCTTGCCAGGCCTGGTTGATTGTGCTCAGTCCTGCTTACCCGCTGAAATTCAATTGATTAAAAACTCCACAATAAAAACACAACCTTCCACCCATAATATTTAAAGAGACCGCAAATATAAATTCTGAAGTTCTGTTGAATTTTCACTATTTCAGTATAACCAACTTACAGTAGTATGCTTGTTTTACAACTAGCATCTTTGAAATGAATTGAACAGATGATACAAGCAGGAAAAATAGATTATGGTGTGTTATTGACAGGATTGTGCAACTATTCCAGAAACTTGGATAGGAACAAACATGTCAAGGCATGTCGTTGAGATACACATGATATGACGGTCACAGAGCTTTAGTCAAGATTCCGTCAAAAGACAATGTAGTTTAACAAATATCCTTTGCCTCAGGAAAACTCAGTGGATTTACGAGCACATCTACGAACCCTCCTGTTTAAGATCCCATAATCTAGAGTCAGTTGACTAAACCATGTAAATTCAGCTAATAACTGTCAGAGGGATTTCAAGTGAGAGAAGGGAATATGATTGAGGTTACAAACTTGTTATAAGCCTGGCTGTCGTGCTGGAAGAGTTGAGCAGCCTCAGGATTTGCAGGACTTGAAGGATTGGGGTCAGTTAAAAGGGACTGTAGAACAAATAGGTATAAATTGCCATTTTTATAGTTAGTTATTCAACAATACATTTACATCGTTCTCCAAGCAATAAACAGCAAATCATAGAAGCAAGACTAAGTAAAAATCAAGACAATAGCTAGTGTACCTGGATAGATGTTAAGATTGTAGCTACATTATGGCAGGGCGACCAAGCTTCTTGGATGATATCCATGCACAAAGTTCCGTCATGATAAACTGCATTCCAGAAAGTTGTTTCAGCACAATCAGTTGGTTATTAAGTGAAGAAGTCCATCAACAAGCGATTTATAAGAAAAAAAATCATAATTACTTCATACACCCATAGCAGTGGACATGACTTGCAAATATAGCTACAATGAGAAATCAACCGCTAGATAGCAAAAAGAGCCTAATGCAGTGCATAGCATGAAGAGCTGAGGTCTAAAGACTTAATTGACAAACAAGCATTGAGAACCCGGAATATAATCCCATTGCCTGTAAGAATGATCCGTCACTACATAATGTTCACTTGAACACAATCCTAAGCAAAATGAAAGCAGCAGCAATACTTCAGGGAAAATCATATTAGCTGAATTTTGTTGCCATGACCAGATTAGAAATAATTTTTCAGCTATGGCTATCCTTTTTAGATATTAGTAAGCACAATTAACATCTTAAGCTTCTATTCCCTTTAAGTCCATTACACTTGCTTTTTTTTCACCCTAAATTAATCTTTAACTTATCACAAGTTACTTTAAAAAACCAATGCACATTGCAGAACCCATTTATTTTCATCATCAAAGTTTTATGGAAGAGTAATTGAGTAGCATTCACTTATTCCTCTATACCACCTTATATAATACAAGTACTCCGTATTAGAGTAATATCTAAAAGGTACAAGCAATAGTCCATTGATAATTGATATTGAAGACAAACATAAAATCCTTGACATGAAGAAAACTTTTATATCAGGGATGAAGGAAATGTTAAAAGTTAGTAACGTAATAATGCAATATCAAAAATTAACTTGCAAATTACAAACCAAAAACAAGAAAATTAAAAGAGAAGTAAATTATTACCATTAGGATGAAATATATCAGAAGTAAAACGAACTCGAGGAGGCTTTTCTGGGTAATTATCAGTAAATGTCAACCTTAAACTAAAAACTCCACCTGCAAATTATACTTGTATAACAAAGATCAACCAAAAAACCAGAAATTTCCCATAATCAATGAGAAAATTAACAAAAATGTAACCCAGATCTGGGGTTCGAATCTAGATATATATAAACAAAATAAAATAAAATAAAATACTGTAAAATAAAATAAAATAAAATAAAAAAACAAAAATGAAGATGTAAAATACCTTCCCATGGAGTTTCATCAGGCCCAAAAATGGTGGCACTCCAAACAAACAGATTGTCATCTGACATAGGACTTGCACTACAACCCTGTAAAAATCAACTCAAAATTAACCCCATGAATTCAATTCTTAAGATTTGATTGATTTTTTGATTGAAATTAAGTGAATTACTTCAGGAGGTTCATTGATGATAGATTTGAGATCGGACATGAGGCGAAGCTGAGATGAAGAAGAAGATGCCATTAATGGATTTTTTTTAGTGAAAGAATGAATGAACAACTTCAGTCTCTCTCAATTGACTTGACTTTATTTGGGTGTTTGTTGGATTGAGATCTAATGCAATTTGTTTGAAGAAAATGAGGGAATGTGACAAGGAAATAAAGGGGAAAAGATGGAAATTTTGAAAAAAAAAAAAAAAAAAAAAAAAAGGATAAGATTGAAAATGGAAGAAGAGAATCAATGGAATTGATGGGTTTCAAAAGGAGAAGAAGAAGAGAAGGAATCAAAGAAAGAGAGTGATTTTCTTTGAAGTTCCTCTTTTTCTCTCTCCTCGTCTTCCAAAATTCCACCTTCTCTTCTGCGACGAATGTCAAAGGTGGTTTTGTAACGTTTGTTTTATTACGAGCTAAGAGACAAACGTGCGCAATATAAGTAATTTATTAAACTTGATTTTCTGTTTTTTTTTTATTTACCATAATCTCCTTAATTCTAATTAAATAAAAATATTAGTGGATTTGATAATTGTTAATAAAATATAATAAAAAAAATATGTTGATATCATGTAGGCTAAATAATAATATTTTCTTCCCTCAAAAAAAAATATTGGGGGTTTTGGGTGATAAATTTCACTTTCCCAAAATACCCCTCTCATGTTTTTTTTTAATAAAAAAATAAAAATAAAAAAACTACACCGTCTTTCACTTTATACTCCCTCCGTCCCATATTATAGTTTCTGTTTTCCTATTTTAGAGACCTAAAATGTTGTTCCTGTTTCTATTTTTAGATAGTATGTAAAGATTATTATACCCTCATTTTTTTTTAACTTTATTCATTGTATTTCCTAAATTATCCTTGAATTATGCACATGCTTTGTACCTTTTTTTTCCACTTTTTTCTTTTAACTTTTATCTATAATTATACTTTTCACTTATATTAATGTACTTTATCCACTTTCTCCTCATATTTCTTAAATACCGTGATAAAACACAAACATGAACTATATATTGGGACGGAGGGAGTATATAGGATGAAATGTTTTAACTTTCACAGAATTTTAGGAAGATTAGTTGAATTTATTAAGGGGTCGTCTGGTTTGCATGGGGTAAACGGAATGGAATGAACAAAGGGAATGGAATAGAATGAAATGAAATTCCCTCAAATTTAGTGTGTTGTTTGTTTTAAAAAGTAAAGGGAATCAGATCCACCACATCACCACCACCACCACTACACAAATTTATTTTAGTAATCCAACCTTCCCCCTTACCCCAGCAACCCAACCACCCAACTTTTGAAATCTGGCCACCCAACCTAGCGGCGAGCTCACGGAGAAGAGGGGTTTGGGGTTGTTGGTGGTTCGGGGATTTGGTGGTTGTTTTGGGGTTTGAGAGTGGCCGGGGTTTCGAAATTTCATGGTGGTCAGGGTTTTGGTTCGGATGACGACACCCAGTAGGTGGTGCACGTGAGAGCAGCGCCGAGCTCACGAGCGTTGGCTTGGACAAGGAAGCGACGGCGATGTCTTGGAGGCAGTGGTGGAGTTCAAGGAGAGCGGGATTAGGTGGTGGAGTTCACGGAGTGCAGGGTTTTTGCGGGAGTGGGGGAGTTTTTCGGGGGAGGGGATCTCCGGCGAGGGACGGGGGAGCTCCAGCGAGGGATGGTGGAGGTGCGACGATGGTGGCTGGGTGGTGGGGATAGGGTAGGATGGTGGTGGCTGGTTTGAATGTGGTGGTGTTGTGGTGGCGAAGGAAAGGGAATGGAAAAACCTGGGGGGGTGGGGAATGAAGTTGGAAGGATTTGGGGTAATGGAGAAGGTAAAGGGAATGGGAAAAAATGCCAAACAAACAACAACAAAGGGAATCAAGACAATTGATTCCCATTCCCTTTGATGAATACCCCCAACCAAACGGCCCCTAAAATTATCCCTATGTCCCTATTTTTTTGCCCCATTTGACTAGGCACAGTCTCCAAAATGCGTATTAAAACACTCCCTAGGTGTTTTAATAAGTGTTACACTTATCAAATGCGGCCGTGTTTTAATAAGCGTTACACTTCTTTTTTTAGCAAAAAACTACATTTAAATATTATATATCTCTCCTCTCATGGTCCCCAGTACTACTATTTTTATTATTTTTTTCCTCTCACATTCATTACTTTTTTATACGAGTAAATTATTAACCCCATATCTTTCTTTTACAATTTTTTAATACTTCAACTACCCCACTTACCTCTTATTTTATTTAAATCAATTAAATTGCCTAAAACTATGTGTCAGTCAAAGTGCAACACTTATTAAAATACGGAGGGAGTATATCTTTATTTCCATAACCGTAAAAATTATAAAAACGTGATATTAATAGAATATATAATGAGAC